AGCAGTGCCACGTCCGCAGTGCCAGGTCACATTGCACGTCAGCAGTGCCACGTCACAGTGCCAAGTCACAGTGCCACGTCAGCAGTGCCACATCACAGTGCCAGATCAGCAGTGCCACGTCCGCAGTGCCAGATCAGCAGTGCCACGTCCGCAGTGCCAGGTCACATTGCACATCAGACATAGTGCCACGTAAGCAGTGCCACGTCAGACGCAGTGCCACATCAGCATCATGACGGGCCTGCCGGGCCAACTGGCCAATGAGACCATTGCCGCCTACAAGCAGCGTTGCCTCGCTCAGATAGAGGCTAAGGAACAACGCCTGCTGGCAGTCGAGGCTGCCCGCATACAAGCTGAAGAGGCAGCAGCAGCAGAGAAACTGCGGCTACAGGCCGATGCAGAAGCAGATGCCCAGGCTCGCCGAAAGGAAGCCCAGGATCTGCTGCAGCGGCATGAAGCCAACAGCATCGACAGACTCAGGTTCTGGCACTTTGAACCGAACGGCGACGAGGCAACACCGGAAGAGAAGCACAAGGAGTTCCTCTCCAAACTCGTGACAAGGTTGTTGTGCGCTTGCAACTACCAACGGTCAGAGTTGGAGAGACAGCATCAGGAGTTGGCAAAGCTCCGCCGCATAGTGCASAGCCACGAGGAYGCAACTCGGGCACTCAATTCCCGATTACTGGACCTGGAACAGGCTGTACCARGACCAGCTGCTGGGGCTTCCAGCAGTGCACCCTCTAGCCGCCAACTGGAGGACCGCGTTGACCATGTAGTCGCAATGCTCGGCGACATCAGCACGTTTGCTGCGCCGACCACCACCATCAGCAGTCAGCTGCATACACTGAAGACCGAGGTCCAGAAGCTGCAGTTGACGAACGCGGACGACAATCCGAAGATGTACAAGATGCCAACTTTCAACCTGGAGAGGTTCGACGATTACACGCAGCAGGATCCCGTCCTCTGGTGGGAAGCATTCACAACGCAACTCCGGATTCTGCCAGTAGCCAAGCATGCGTACATCGGCGCCCTGTTCCTGAACTCAAAGGGCGGATGCCAGACCTGGTTGAGCCACCTGGCAACCTCCCACGGCGTCGACGTACCAGACTTGAAGGACGTAATCACATGGGAGGAACTGACACGGTTGTGGAAGAAGCGGTTCATCGTTGACGACGCGCCGGCACTCGCCATCAACCGTTTGTTCACCATGTCACAGGGTCACGGAGTGGCAGAAGATTGCGGTTGTGCCCAATCTGAACCTACCATTCGAGCATCTACGCTGTGAGTTCTACAACAGGTCCTGTGCGGCATTAAGCCAGGCTCTTGGTGATCGCGAGCAGTACTCAACCTTCGCAGAGATCATTGACAAAGCAAGGGAGATCATCAAGACCAACAGGTCAGCTGCACACGAGAAATCAACATGGCAGCCGACCTATGTGGAGAAGGCACGAACTGGTCCGCGACAGCAACATTTCGTTGCAGTCCAGCAGGACAGTGGAGATAACCCAGCAGCCACTCCAGTATCAAGTGACGGAGATCAGGTGGCCGCTGTCCAGCCGCGAAGCAC